TGCCTTCGCCCGCCCAGGGTGTGCTGGAGGGGCTGCAGCGGCTGCGCGCCAACCCCAAACTGGCAGACGTGACCCTGGTGGCAGGCGGGCAGGAGTTCCCCTGCCACCGTGGCGTCCTGGCCCTCTGCAGCCACTACTTCTATGCCATGTTCTCCGGCGACTTCGCCGAGAGCATCGCAGCACGGGTGGAGCTGAAGGAGGTGGACTCCGGCGCCCTGCAGACGCTGCTCGACTTCGCCTACACAGGGAAGGTCACCATCAACCAGGGTAACGTGGAGGGGCTGATGCGGACCTCCAGCCAGCTCCACTTCCCCACTATCCAGAAGGTTTGCAGCCGCTACCTCCGGCAGCAGATGGATGCCACCAACTGCCTAGGTATCTGCGAGTTCGGTGAGAGCCACGGCTGCCCTGAGGTCTCTTCCAAGGCCTGGTCTTTCTTGCAGGAGAACTTTGAAGCTGTCTCTCAGCAGGAGGAGTTCCTCCAGCTCTCCAAGGAGAGGTTGGCCATCTACCTCTCTCACGACCAGCTGCAGGTGCAGGAGGAGCAGAGCCTGGCTGAGGCCGTGCTGCGCTGGGTACGCCACGACCCAGGGCCCCGAGCCCAGTTCCTGCCCGAGCTGCTGGAGCTGGCCCACCTCGTCTCGCTGCCTGACCAGTACCTGCAGAACCTGCTTGCCACTGAGCCCCTCATCCGTGACTCAGATGCCAGCAAGGCTCTTGTTGCCCGATCTCGTGCCACGGTGGGTACCCCCCTCCCCAAATCCCACCCCCCAAGCCGGGGGATCTCGTGCCACGGTGGGTCCCCCCCTCCCCAAACCCCCCCCCCCAAGCCGGGGGGGAGGCTCAACTTGGAGCCTGACGGCCCTGCCCTGGCCACTCTGTCAGGGGCAGAGTGATGCTGGTACCCAGAAGAAACCCGCGACCCCACCACAGAAGCTGGAGGAGGTGCTGGTGGTGGTTGGTGGCCGTGTGCTGGAGGAGAGCGAGGATGAGGATGGGGGACTGCAGATGCCGGCCACCACCAGGAACTTCGCCTTCTACAACCCCAAAAGCAGTAAGTGCCCACAGCAGGGACGGGACAACTGCACCCCCCAACACAAGTGTTAGTTAACCCTCTGTCTACCCCAAAGCCACCTCTTGCCAAATGATCTGGTGTTAGGAGGGGGGTGGGAGTGAAGAGTGAAACAGGGCGGGCTTAAAAGTGTCATTGCTGGCTGGGTGGATCATCACTTGACTCCGCTGGGTTCCAGGGCGTTGGATGGCTCTTCCCGACTTCCCTGATTACAACAAATGGGGCTTTTCCCTGGTGGCTCTGAACAATGACGTGTATGTCACAGGTAGGTGCCAGGGCTGCTGGTGTGGGGTCGGGTTCCCAAGGAGCAGGGAAGGAGGATGGGGGACAAAGATGTGGGCATGGGGCCCGGGCATGGGGCGCTGGCATGGGGCCGGGGGCTGCCCTCCTCTCTGAGAAAAGCCCTCTGCTTGCTCACATCTTGGTTTGCTCTGGCTGCTGGTGGGGGTTGCCCAGGGACAGCTGCGCTCAGACGGGGTGGCCCACCTGACCTATCCCTCCCCAGGTGGCTCCCGGGGGTCCCAGAACGACACGTGGTCAACGACCCAGGCCTGGTGCTTCTGCCTCAGGGACGGCACCTGGAAGCCCATTGCTTCCATGCTGAGAGCCCGGACAAACCACACCAGCGCTGTCCTGAATGGCGAGATCTATGTCATTGGGGGTAAGGCTGCGAAGACCCCGTGGGCACTGCTGGGGTGGGGTTCCATGGGTGCCCCGGAGCAGTGTCCTGCCACCCCACAGGGACGACAGTGGACGTGGTGGAGGTGGAGCGCTACGACCCCTACAACAAGAGCTGGTGTGCCACCAGCCCAGCCCTCAAGTATGTGAGCAATTTTGCAGCCACCAGCTGCTTGGGCAAGCTCTACCTGGTGGGCTCCTGTGCCGTCAAGTACAACGCGCTCACCCTCCAGTGCTACAACCCTGTCCAAGGTGAGAGCTGGTTCCACCACCGCGCCCCACCAATGCCTTCCCAGGGAGCAGGGCTGAGGGGGACATCCAGGCAGGCGACACCTTGTGCCACCAGGCACAGTCCCACAGGATGCAACCAGGTGCTGATGGGGTCTGGCGATGGCTGTGGCACGAGGCCAGGGGCCAGCCAGAAGCACAGCAGCTGGCAGCATGGACCTGAATTGCAGTCCTCCAGCACAGCCCAGACCTGAGCTTCAGTGCAGCAGGACCTGCAGGGCAGAGGGACAGGGAAGGCCGCCCACCTCAGGGAGAAGCTAAACCCCTATGACAGTGCCACCTCCTCTGCCTGCGATGGTCTCCCCATCCCACACCACTACTGCAAACAGTACTCCCCCACACTTTTTTTATGCAAGAGCCTTGTCTAGGATGGGGACCGCAGGTGCCACCCTGCCTGGTGGCTCTGTCCCTTCCCTTTCAAACTCCCCCACAAATAGCTGTGGGCTCGGTAATGCTTTTTTTGGTCACTGGCAGCTGCACCGAGAGCCGAGGGTGGGACACGCTGCTGACGGCTGCTCCTTGCAGATTTGTGGAGTGTGATCACGTCCCCCTTCATCCCCAAGTACCTCTCGGCCCCGCGCTGTGCCACCCTCCACGGGCTCATCTACCTCATCGGGGACAACACGAAGAAGGTCCACGTGTACAACCCAGAGGCCAACATCTGGCAGAAGGTAGCAGGATGCAGGGCTGGGTGCAATCACCCTCTTGGGAGGGGGGGGGGGGCAGGGTGTTCCCTCCCCCCCCGCCACCTATGCCCGCACCCTCTCCCCCACCGCTGCTGCCAGCACCACCCTCTCCCTCGCACACACTCGTCCCTTGGCCCTATTAACTCCTGCAGAGCCAAAGATGCCCCAATCCTTCCTTCCCTGCTCCCCTGTCACAGCAGCACTAGGAGCACAGCTTTTGCCGATTTTGAGCAGCGCTCACATTGCAGAAGCCCACAGGACCCCGCCTTTTCCAGCACCACCCTCCTGCGGGGCACGCATGGCTCCTGCCTGTGCAGTCTGGAAAAATCCTGCCTGTCCCCTCTGACTTCCAGACCCCCTGCTCCCCACAGCACCCCCAAATTTGCTCCTGGACGAGCACAACACAGAGATGCTGCTGAAAGCAAGACATGGCCCCAGGGGCCCCCAGACCTCACCAAGAGGACGAGGCAGGGGGATGCACTGGGTGGGCTGATGTCCTCTGCAGTGGGAGCAAGAGGTCCCTGGGGGGGTGGTCCCTGTGCATCTCCCCCTGCCCATCGCGAAGGTGCAGCTCCTGTACCCCCATGAGAACGGCGGGATGGTGCCGCTGGGCGACCGGCTTTTTGTCACCGGTGGCCACTGGAAGGGCATGGACGGGGACTACCGGGTGGAGATGGAGGTGTACGACTGCGCCAAGGACCTCTGGACACGGGAGGGCTCCCTGCCCTGCCTCTGGCTCTTCCACAGCTCCTCCTCCATCTTCATGGACACGTCCAAGTGGACAGAGGCTTTCCGCAGTGACCATGGGTGGTAGGAGAGGCCACAGTGCTGCCGGTCACACCGCGCTGCCACTCTCCCCTCTCACCTCTCTACATGCTGCCGGTTCCGTTTGGCAG